TATTTTTCGTCTCAAAATGACCCTTAAAATAAGGTTGCAAGTTTTAACACTCAAATGAATTGAACAATAATATTAATTTGCATGAATCTATTTGTGATGTCCCAGGTTGGTTGGAAGGAGAACAAACACCATTTATAAGGGTGTGGAAACCTTCCCCTAGCAGACACGTTCTAAAGCCTTGAAGGGAAACTCGAAAAGGAAAGCCCAAAAAGGACAATATCTGCTAGGGGTGGATCTGGGCCATTACAAATGGTATCAGAGCCAGACATTGGGTAATGTGTCAGTCTTCTCGCACTTCTCCGAAGGGGGTAGACATGAGGCGGTGTGCCAGTAAAGACGTTGGGCCCTAAAGGGGGTGGATTGGGGGCCGTCCGACATCGATGGGAGGAAGGAAAGAGTGCTAGCGAGGACGTGCCCTAGTAGACGCATTTTAAAGCCTTGAATTGTGATGTTCACCATTGGTTGGGTGGGGAGGAGAACAAACCACCATTTATAAGGGTGTGGAAACCGAAACCTTCTCTTAGTAGACGCATTTTAAAGCCTTGAGGGGAAGCTCAAAGAGGACAACCGCTGCTAGCGGTAAATCTAGGCCGTTACACTATTTTTGTACTTAAATTAAAAAAAAAAAGTGTAATAAATTTTTATTATTTTTTTTATTTTTAAAAATAAAATAGTATGAATTTATTTGTTTTGCTTTACCAAAATTAAAGGTAAATTTTAATATGAAAACCTTGTTTATGAAAATAGAATTTAAAATAGAAGTTTTTTCCTTAAAAAAATAAAAAGAAAAAGAAAAAGAAAAAAAAAATACAAGAGACGAAGCCAAAAAACACGGGTGCATGGGAATAAGAATGGTCCTCAATACAGAGAAAAACTACCTCCTTAAGAAGAAGAAAACATTCCTCCAATCATTCTCGTGAACTTTCCCAACCTGATCCCTTGTTGGATGATGAAAGAACCACATCAGCTAATTTAGGGAATGATCATGCGTTTATAAACAAAGAATACTCTCTCCATTGGTATGAGATCTCTTGAGGAAGCCTAGAGCAAAGTCATGAGAGCTTATGGTCAAAGTGGACAATATCATACCATTGTGGAGAGTCGTGTTCGTCTAACATGGTACCAGAGTCATGCCCTAAACTTAGTCGTGCCAATAGATTGGTAAATCCTCAAATATCGAACAAATGACTCCAAAAGAAAACGAGTCAAGCCTCCACGAAGTCTCGTCAAAAGACTCTAGTTCTCCTTTATCAGATAATAACATGTAGTGTAATAAATGTGAATATCTTTCTGTGCTCTAACGGTTCTGGATAGTCTCCTCACAACCTGCTCAAGTGTCACTTACTCCACCTTTAGTTCCTACGACACCATTATTATCATTTATCGATATTGATTTTTCGAGTTCTATTTGATGCTTCTTTATTTTGAGTTAATATATTTTGTGCTAAAAGATCATCACTAGTCTAATAGAATCACGTATAATCATTATAAAATCCAATTATCAAAAAGACTGATTAACCCACTTGTAAGTTTCATCAAAAGACTCTAGTTCTCATTCGTCAGATAGCAACATATAGTGTAATGAATGTGAATATCTTTCTGGTGTTCTAACGGTTCTGGATAGTCTCCTCACAATCTGCTCAAGTGTCACTTGCTCCATCTTTAGTTTCTCAACAGCCGTTTTAACAATTTCTTGAGTTTTTGCTACAAGATCACTCGGTGAATTTTTATGCAACTCAACATCAACTCCAACTTGTTTCGTAGTCTCTGTGTCTTTCTTCTCATTGTTCTTATATCGGACGTTTTAATCAAATATCACGTCATAATCTCTCAGAATTTTTCTATTTTATCATCTCGAATCCTAAACCCAAACATGTTAGAACCATAGTCTATGAAGAAGAACTCACAACCTTAACATCAAACTTGTCTATCTTCTCTAAACCAATATGAACAAATGTAGTGCAACCAAAAGTTCTCAAGTGAAAGCATTTGAGTTCAGGGTTTTGTATTCAAAACATGAGCTCATAATGTCTTTAGCAGTTCAGAATGAATTCTCATACTCCTTGCCCGTTCATTCAATGTTCTTTTCATTCTTCCAACAACACCATTTTATCTTGTCTTACTAGGAACGACCCTCATTAATCTGATTCCCTTACCTACATGAAATGCTTTTAATTCTGACATCTCATATTCTCCTACATTGTCAAATTTTGGGCATTTCATTTTCTAACTGATCAAATTTTTAATTTAGCTTTTCCTTTAAAAGGTGGCAAACTCATCTCACTTGTGTTCCATGAAATAGACTGGTACTTTTTAATTGGAATCATCAATGAAGGTGAAGTAGAACTTAGATTCACAAAGTAAATAGAACCGGAGATGATTCACAAACATTTATATGAACCATTTTCAACCATACTTTTTTTTTTGTTCTCTTGCAACCTTTATGAAATTAACTCATTTCTATGAGTTCATCACACAATTCTCACAAAGACCCATATCAATAGGTTTCAGACCCTCCAAAGCTCCTCTTGCAAACATTTCATTCATTTAACGCTCATATATCCAAGTCTATTGTAGCATAGACTTAAACTAGAAGCACTCAGTAGTAGCAACCATGTTGATACACCCTATAGTGGTGTATAAGATTCCATATTTTGTGTCATGTGCTACAATCTTAGTACCCTTCACAATCTTCCACAAACTCTACTGCATATCTCGTGCTCACCAACTGAAAAATAGAGATCAGATTCTTCTTTAGTTTTTAAAAATACTCATAATATACTGTATGCATTGAAGAGAAAATAAGACATAAACAAGATAGGAACAACGAGTAGACACGAGTGCCAAAGACAGGCTTGTTGAAGGGCCGAGTAGGGCTCCGTGCCTTAAACTCAAAATTTGGGGTTCCGAAGGAAATTTGGGTACGCGGTTCTAGAGTCAAATCCGTCCATATAAACTATGAATGATTGCCAAATTTTGTATTAATCGGACACCGAATGAATGCTTCACAACACCAAATGATCGTTTGCCAAATGACATCTACCTGATGAGTATTGAAAATGTCTCAAAATGTATTATAGGGGGAGGCATGATGTCAGCTCTCCACCACCCAAGCTATCTTGTGGCACATGTGTGTGTCACAGTGAGGTCGAGCGTTACGAGACAAGTGTCTCAAATGACTTTTCTTTGAAATGGGTCTTTCAAGGACAGTATCGAGCGACACGAGTGCACCGGTATTGCATCCTAGCTCGAGTGTTGGAGGTTAGATTTTACAACTGTTATGCGGTACGTATCCATAAATGATATGACATGGGCACGGGAGAGCCAATGCCTCAAATAAAATTTGATGAATGGATGTTCGGGATGTCTCGATAATATAAACGACACGTGGGCCTGTTCTCGATGGCATGACCGAGTGAGTTGCGATGGCCGACGAAACCCCTTGACTTGAGATGGCTTGAAGACATATGGGTCATGTTGATTCGGAACCAAGATCACAAGATGAGATTCGACGTTGCTTTGAGAGACCTTGCCCTCGAATAGAGGCAAGGTTGAGTCGAATGACTAGGCCTAGTGTAGGTAAGTTGGTTGTGTCGCAGAGGATTGAACATGCACGTGCAAATGACATGTGCAACTGAACAAGCATGGATTCTCCACGAGCGATATTCAGTTGGCAAGACTAACCTCGCCTAAAGTCCGGCAAAGCTACAAAGTTGACCAAAAATGAATATGGGGCTTGAGTCTTCCTTAAGGCTAGTCGTGAGTGCTTTAAGATCACGCCGTCACACGAGTGAAAAAGTATGCCGCACGGTTAAGCCATAAAGGAGTTGTTGAACCGAATGGAGGCGTTGCGAGCTGACCGCAGGAGGAACAACTTAACCGAGTCACACACTACCCAGAAGTGAGCCACAATTTGGGGGAACGGCTCGCGTGGAAGGGGCGAAACTAAGTATTCAGGTTGGAGCTCAGGTGGTGGGTTGATGTATGGGACTCAGGTCGCCTAAATATAATTGCGGAGTTGGTTGCATTCTGCTAGTGGGTCACGTATTTCTAGCTTGCAAAAATTGGGCCAAGGGTGTCATAATCACACTCTTGCAGTAGCGAGACTTCGATTGTGTGGCAGTTATTCTAACACAACGAATAAGTTAGCCGTATGAATATCAAACTTTGCAAACAATATCGGCGTGCGCTTGAGCCCCTCGGGTTATATTTAAGAGAAATGTTTTAGAAAATCTGAGTGAGGAAATACGTTTAAATTTTTTTTTGAGAAAGCAATGTTATAAGTTAAAAACGAGTGGGCAACAACGATGACGTTGATAAGATATAACCCAGGTAGGAAAAATTGACAACTAGTCACATCCCCTTATAGTATATTTTTAGGCATTGTTAGCTCTGGCGGGGTGCAGATATAATTTTGGTGATCGGTCGTCCACCGCCGTATTGACATTAACAATAATAGTAAAAGCCTATCTTTGACACTCGTGTTTACTCGTGGTGTGTTCTCATGCATCGTCCTCCTTCGCTATTAAATTTTTATTTAAAAAATTTTATGTTTGGGATGAGTTAGATTAATTATTTAGTAAAGGTTTTTTGGGTCGAAAAATTTACAACTCTTAATAATCAGGTTGGGTCTAAAAAAAAATATCTTAATCAGACCTAACTCAATTAGGAATTTCTCTAATTTTGCTATTAACTTTCGAGTATATTTACAAATTTCGTCCTTTTTTACAAGGCTGAAAATAATTGAAATGGTCAAAGTGTAAGAACTCATTATATTAATGTATTATCTTATTGACTTCACCAACTCAGTTGTCTGCAAAAACGACTTAGGGATGACAAATATTAATACTATTTTCTGAATAGGCAAAAAATAAATTAGTTACAAAGACTTGACCGAATAATCTGCATTCACATGCTATTATTTTTTGTATTATTAAGTTACGCGTTATTGTTCTTGTTCTCGTTCTCGTTCTCGTTCTTGTTTGTTTAATTGTCCCGAGATGAAGTACGATGTGTTCATAAGTTTTAGAGGCAAAGATGTTCGCAAGAACTTCGTGGGATTTTTGCACCAAGAGTTGGAGCGTTTGGGGCTAAAAGCTCTCGTAGACGAGAAAGAGTTCAAAATCGGAGACGATCTATTCGATTTGTTCAAAATAATAGAAGAATTGAAGTTCGTGATTGTGATTCTTTCGAATAATTATGCTTCTTCCAAATGGTGTTTGAGAGAGCTTACCAAAATCATGGAGTCTATGGAAATGGCTCAAGCTCGTGCTCTTCCTGTGTTCTACCGGGTACAGCCTTCTGAAATTAGAAACCTTTCCAACCCTTTTCTTAAGAAGAAGTTTGTTAAGTTTAAAAGCTTTATGAAAGGAGTTGATGATCAAAAAATGCGAAGGAAATTGGAAGAGATTAAACGTTAGAAGAAGGCCATGAAGAAGATTACCACTCGCACCGGTGTTGTCATCACCAAATCCAGGTAACTTTTAAGTTATTTTCCAATCTCTTTCGATTGGTTTTAAACACTTAAATGAGTAGGAATATACACGAGCTTGTTTGGATTTGAAAATTTTATTGCACCAACCTGAAATTTCAGGTTTATCGGATTGGTGACCCGAGCTAACACTTTAGGGTTTAGGGTTGGAGAGTGGAATGAAACATTATTTATAAGTGTGTGGAAACTTCTTCCTAACCGACCTATTTTAAAAACCTTGAGGGTAAGTCTAATAGGAAAAGCCAAAAGAAGACAATATGGGCTAGCGGTGGGCTTGAGCTATTACAAATGGTATTATTGTAAGACATCGGGTGGTGTGTTAACGAGGACGTTGGGCTCCGAAGGGGGTGGACACTAGGCGGTGTGCCAGTGAGGACGATGGATCCTAGAGGGGGAGGATTGTGAGATTCCACATCGATTGGAGAGAAGAACAAGTGCCAGCAAGGAGATTCCACATCCTAGAGGGGGTGGGATTGTGAGATCCCACATCGATTGGAGAGTGGAATGAAACATTATTTATAAGTGTGTAGAAACTTCTTCCTAACAGACTTGTTTTAAAAACCTCGAGAGGAAGCCTAGAAGGAAAAGCCAAAAGAAGACAATATGGGCTAGCGATGGGCTTGAGTTGTTACAAATGGTATAGAGCAAGACATCAGTGGTGTGTTAGCGAGGACGTTGGGCTCCAAAAGCGGTGGACACCAGGCGGTGTGCCAGCGAGGACGTTGGACCTTAGAGGGGGGGAGGATTGTGAGATTCCATGTGAATGTTTGCTGAATCCACCACACCTAAATGGGGGTGAGAGTTCTCTTATTTATAATCATTTAACAAATAATATGGAAATAGCAATAAAAGGAAAGAATAATAAATGAATACAATATATTTGCCTTTAATAAAAGGGCAAATATGGTAACCCGTAATGTAAGGCAAATATAGATATTTGCCTTATAATGAACGGTCAACTATCCTTAGCACCCCCCGAAAGCTGAGCGTCGGATTTGAAC